CTACTAGGCAAATAAATAGGAATACATACCTGCATGATATTTCGAGGTAATTTTAAGTGGAGTGTAATTCACTAACAACCTACTACTGAATGGTAAGAAATTGATGACATTAACACCATGTTAAATTCATAGAACGTGTAAAATCCATTACAGAATCCATCTACTACATAATATTACGCTTGATGATCTGTACCATATTGTACAATGTTTAAGGTATACTGTGCAGCTACATAGACAAAAATTGGAGTAAATATAGTACATGGTGGAATTTTGTAATGCCACCTGTTGGGGAACTCTTAAAATGTTTAGGTCCTTTAACCATTAGGTCAATTATTGGATTAATAAATTAAGATTTCATTGTTTTCTTTTCAATCAATTTATGAAGTTTGTTAAAGAAATATTATCCTTATTGACACTAACGATCGATGCAATAAAAGTACAGGGTGCAACTTCTTTTCAAAAATGAAATGTTTTCTTTGAGTACAATTTTCTATCTAAAGTATTAAAAGTAATTCCCCTTCATGTGGCATTACAACATTCCACTCTGTAGAGTAGACTACAATAAATATGTTACATCAGTTACGTAGATCGCTATACAGGATAATTTTACCATCACGTTTTGTGGGACAAATAGAGATATAATGATTAGAACAAAGGGAAAATGAAAGGAAAAGAGACAAAAAGGGCCGATTTTTTTTTATATTGGGCCGATTTCAAGCTGGTTGAGTTAAAAACCAGAACTTTTGTATCTGTAAGAAACAAATAGAGATATTATTATTCTTCAGTGATATCGAAATTATCCTGTATAAGTAAATAATGATATCGTGTTAATAATTCTAGTTTTTCCAATAGGGAAATCTACTGCATACAATTGTTGTTTTCCCACTGTCCCTATTGCAAAGGCTTTCTTCTATTAAAATATACATTTTTTAAATAAACATCTTATACATTCTAATTGTTCGGAAACGTCTCGGAAGTCTCGATGACGTCGATGGAGGCGGCACTGACGGTGGCATCAGAGGAGGGACAGCGCTGCGCGGGGAGCAACATGTACGAGGACGAGGATCGCGGCCCGTTCTTTTCCACTCGATCGGCTGTGAGCACTGTACGCGTTGCGCGCCGTATATTTGTAAAGGCACACCTACCTTCCGTCGAATAAACCAGTACCTAGACCTTTAATCAGCATCATCATTTATACAGTCCAAAAACTCTCCCTAACACTAATGTTGTAAATAATATTTGCGGTTTACTCGCTTATACTTTACAACGGTGTTAGACTATATGACCTTATGTGTGGAACAATGTATATTTTATAGCAGTGTTCAGACTTTCATTGACTCATTAGTAAAGACAGCATACCTACAACCATAAAATCAACATGTGTCTCACAACATTTATTGGGTATACCAAAAAATCAATCCTTGTGCAAATAACTAAATCTTCGTTTAACTATTTTAACAAAGAAATAGAGACAATGGGAATACATTCTACATTAAATTAAAATTTCTACTCAATAATACACTTTATCGTGATAGAGATAAAGGCGAATACATTTATAATATAGCTGTAAATATAGTCGTTTACACAATAAATCTGTTACCAAAATATATACTATACTTATCAAAAATTTTAATTCGTTTCTTTCATTCTAGAGAAGTTTTAGATCATTTTGAATACATACATAAGATCACGCCGTTTTCCGAGAGGTGAGTAGATTGAAGTAAACAGAGAGCTTAGTCTTGGTTCATACAAACGAGATCGCGGTTGGCACTCTTATTGGTTGGATTATTGGAGCCGGCCAATCAGAGGCCTTTGTACAAGTTTGATTTACGTTTAAAGTAATCGTAACGAGTACGCGTTCGGCACTCTGATTGGCCGGCACCAATGAAGTAACCAATCAGAGTACAGAGTAGTAGTAGTAGTAATCAACGTAAAACAATCCCGTACTAATGTCAGCATTTTTTTTAACATAACATAACATCACGCCTTATATCCCCGAAGGGGTAGGCAGAGGTGCACATTATACCACTGTACCTATAGAGGTACAGTGGTATAATGTGCACCTCGCACCTCGCACCTGCATATAAAGTGGGTGTTACATTGTAGAATGTAACACCCACTTTTCACTATTTATGTTATGAGTCCCATGTAATAGGGGGTGAGCCTATTGCCATATACCGGGCACAATTCCAGACTCCGTGCTACTACTGAGAATATTAAAAAACCCAGTAATACTTTGCCCGACCCGGGAATCGAACCCGAGACCCCTTGCCCGGCAGTCGTACTTACGACCACTCGGCCAACGAGGCAGTCATTTTTTTTTAATAGAGTAACAAATGGAGTTTCATGCTCGTTCTTCTCCACTCGAATCTACATTTTGGTATGAGCGCCTAGCTTCACTGACGGACAGACTGACAGACTATTATTTATTTCATATTTGTTGACGTTTCAAAAGTACCAAATTATGGTTTAACTCGTCGAGTACCGTATTTATAGACACAATTAAAGAACAATAGGTTGCGGTCACCGGTGACCGCTTGGTGTTTGACAGTTTAATTGAAATAAATGCTTTTGAGTTTGAGTTTGAATTTGAGTTTGCCCAACGCGGTCTCATTTCAATTTCGAAACGTAACAACATTCGTACTAAGGGTACAGCTACAGTACATTGATTAGTCAGTCACATTATGAACAGAATATGACTGTAAGTAAACTTCAGTCCATCCCTTTAACGGATGAGGTGTGTCTAATTGTCCAGCAATTAACATGTAAGAAATCAAGAAAAAAGAAGATTCAGAGAAAAATTGTTTCAACATTCGTCCATAGATGGTAGTTTTATTTGAGACTGTTTTCTGAATCGCGGCTTTAAGTTCTCCGCTATATTTTAAGTATTTTATGTTGGTATCGATTTCCATGATTTTGTTATTGTATTGTATTAAGTTGGTATAATAATTCGGAATACAAGTGTTCGTTAACCACTACAAAGTACTTTTATTAGCTTAACCCTCACGATACCCAGGGTTATTCAAGGTGTGATATTATGTATGTATCGTTGCTATGCTGAGACTCAGTTTCATCAGTCCTTAAAAAGTATCTGAGAATTTCATCTGATAAATAATCTGGTGAATAAATAGACTGTGAAACTGGTCTTAAGTATTTCATAGCTTACTAAACGCCACGCAAGCGTTAAGATGTTACACAGCAATACACCCATTTTACTTTAAAAATGAGGTCTTCTTAACCCATAAAATTGCCGTTTCCCAAATATAATTTAACGGCTAAAGCAATTTGATAGGTAAAGGCATTTATATGACAGGGTTTACTCTATCACCTTTGTCATAGAGTGAAACCTGTCATATATTCTGTTACAGAATCAAATAATAATTTTAATGCACATAATTGCATACCATATAAAATATGATACAAGAGTTTTAAGATAACAATTGTGTATTCGAAAAGAGTTTTTGTGTCAGTAAAGGCCCTAGTATTTTTTTTTAATGATTGAATGAATGCTCCTTCCTGGGTGAGGCGGGAGGGAGTGTCAGACTCTTACTGACTAAAAACCACCCCGTTCCTTCTCCTGCACGTCGAGCCGGAGCCCCGGTTACCCGTTAGGTTCTCTGCGACCGTTAGGTTCTCTGCGACCGTTAGGTTCTCCGCGACAAACCGCTAGTATAGACTAAAGTTTATTAATCAATAAGTTTTACATTGCACAGTGGCATTAAGTGTCGTAACGTGTATCTCTGCCTACCTCTTCGGGGATAAAAGGCGTGATGTTATGTTATGATCAAAAGAATTACCGCTATGTTAAATAAGTTGTTAGGTTATCAGACTATTTGTAAAGCTAAGCTAGTTCAATACGTATACGGAGACGCTTAAGGGCTAATGGATCCTCGGGGGCTCCAGCTCGAAGAGGTGTAGGATCGGAATGGTTTTTAGTGAGAGTCTGACACTCCTTCATCAAGACGGCAGAAGTCAATGGATGACTTCCCCCCTTCAGAACAAAACCTAGTCCAATACTACTAATTCATTAGTTCTATCTAACGTCATCAAGTAAGCACAAACATATGTTTTCTTAAAACTCTTGTTAGTTTCTTTATTAACAGATCTTATTATAATTACAAAATCATCTCGTAACATTTTGTTTTAAGTAAACAATAAAAAATTTCGAATAAAATAACAATAAAACCCATGATTGTCCCAGTCAGCAATCACTTGTAAACAATTTAGGAAGTGACAACGAGTGCAAATAATTCTACTTGATACAAACACAGTTGACTATGTCCCCCTTCATGTAGGGCTCTCTTTTCGTAGTAAAAGTTAACTATAACTACTGAAGTTAAGGGCTCTTATACAAAACTGCAATGCGATGCGAATTCGCAACGCAGAAAATTATGATGCGAATTGCTGCGATGCGATTTCGTGTGACAAGGCGTCTTCCAGGATGACGATTCTTTCGACGACCGTCAACCGTACTAAACGTATTTTAAATTGAAAACTAGGTCGTGGCATGGATCGTAAAAAGAAGTATTATTGTTATTGCACTTCTGTTATTGCTTAGGATATACAGGAAAAAGAAACAAAGTAGATTTTGGGAAGATAAGATTTTGATGCGCGATGCGCACCAATTCGCAAGTTCTTGCGATGCATCTCTACACATGTATCGACGTCGCATCGCAGTTTTGTGTACGAGCCCTAAGCCAGCACTGCACTCAACGCAAATATAGCATAGCATTAGTACTTAGAGTAACCTATGGAGTTCTTGCTCGTTCTTCTCCATAGAAATTAACACCTTGGAAAGAGCAAATAGCTTCACTTTTAACATTTATTGACGTTCAAAAGTACATACTTTTCTGGTCTAATTGAAATAAACGATTTTGACTTTCACTTTGATTTTCCATAACTTAGAAATTGTATGTCAAATTTTCACTAGGTCAAAGATATTTTGAACCAAATTCTTTTCGTTGTTGACGTTATAAATTGAACGACAATATTATCATTATAGACTTATTGAGAAGTATTGATATAAAATAAAATGACTGAATAACCATTACCCGGAACGTAGATCTGAGCGAAACACAATATATTATATTATCTATTGTGTTTTGTATATTGGCAGTCAAGATGTTAAACCTGAACATCCCACCCCAGGTTACTGAGCACAGATTTCTTCTCGCCGCTAGTGAAGTGCAGTACGGCTGCGATGGCGTTGAGCATGTGCTTCCTGCCCGCATTGTCTGTCGACATCAGGTACGCCATCACTACGTTCTTTAGATATTCTAGATTGGCTCCCTCTCTGGATTGGATGCGTCGTAATCTGAAATGAGGATATAATATGGATTAATATAAGAGATGAGTAAAACGACGAGCATGCATGAAAAGATTAACGACTATTGATGAAGCGAAAGAGGTATTACTTATATTTTTTTATTTGCTCAATATGCAGGTATTTACAATAAGGTGATATTAAAATACTCATAAGATATCCTTGTACATTCTACTATTTTAGCATGCAAACATTGATACAGGTTCATCATCAGACATATGACATTATGAGTTACAATTTATCAGCAAAATAATCAGACAGAGTAATAACATTTGTTTAACAAGAGTGTTGTAAGTTTCTTTTTAAAAATTGTCATTGGTCCTTTTTTTTATTGAATTAGGAATATGGTTAAGTCAGTAGAACATTCTTATATCGACCTGTGCGTAACAAGTTTTGGTATTGATATCGCAAAGTTATAACGCGGTGTCTGCCCTCTGACAAACTCACAAAGATATTGTAGCAATTGGCGTTCCATAGTCTCTACCTGCCCCCATGAGAGACAGGCGTGAAGTTATGTATGTAATATTAGAAATGTCGTGGTGGCCCGGTGGTTTAAGACGCCCACTTCTCATGCATGAGGGTGCGGGTTCGAAACCTACCAACGGCAAGTACCAATGTGACTTTTTCCGACTTATATGTACTTTCTAAGATTATTTAGACACCACTGACACACGGTGAAGGAAAAACATCGTGAGGAAACCTGGACTTATAATTTCTAATTATAAGTTTGAAATCGCCAACCCGCATTGAGCAAGCGTGGTGATTAATGCTCTAACCTTCTCCGTGTGAGAAGAGGCTTTGCTCAGCAGTGGGCATTTATAGGCTGTTGATGATGATTAGAAATATATGGTTCTGCCACTAGCTTTAATTATTTTATATTTGTTTTTTTTTGTAGGCCAATGACGGATCGACTTATGGTGAGTAATTACCGCCACTCACGGACACCCACAACGTCAGAGGAGTAACAGGTGCTTTATAGGCCGTTTAATGAATTGGGGACTAAAAATTGGCGATTGGAAATTTAATATTTGTGAACTATTTTCATACAACAATGTAAATATTACCTGTCAATTTCCTCCTTCAAAGTCCGTATCACTTCCTTGAACCGCTCCTTTTCAATCGTAGCTTCACGTTGACAATCTCTGTAAAATGACAAATTGTAGTATTTGTAGTTGATCAATACTAAACACGAATGTGCCTGCTGAGAGGTCACTAGTTTGTAATAACCTAAACAGCACGCCTTTTATCCCCTAGGGGGTAGGCAGAGGTGCACATTATGCCACTCTACAATGTAACACCCACTTTTCACTATTTATGTTATGAGTTCCCTGTAATAGGGGGTGAGCCTATTGCCATATACCGGGCACAATTCCAGACTCCGTGCTACTACTGAGGATTTTTTTAAAACCCAGTTATACTTTGCCCGGGTTGGGAATCGAACCCGAGAACCCTTGCCAGGCGACTGCCAGTGACCGCAAATGCGACTGCATTTGCGGTCACTCGGCCAACGAGGCAGTCATTCTAGTTTGTAATATTAGCAGGTTTTACCTGAACTGTCCCTCCATGATGTGTTTCTCTTTCCTGAGCTGTGATATGTCGAGATCCTTCCTGGCCAACTCGTGCGCATAGTGCAACATATGCGGCGGTGCTGTGACGTCCTGCAAAATATTGATGCGATCATTTGAACCAGTGATTAGTGGCAGTACGGTCGAGTTATATTTTGTTTTGGACGGTTAAAAGTTTCAAGTACAATAGAATGACTACCCAAACTATTAGGTTCCGATTATTAAAGATTCTTTTATTAACACAGAATCATGGATTCAGTGTAAACACTACCAATAGATTTCGTGGTGGCCTGGAGGTTTAAAACGCTCGCTTCTCATGCTTAAAGGTGCTGGTTCAAAACCTGCCAACAGCAAGTACTAATGTGACTTGTTCCGAGTTATATGTACTTTCTAAGATTATCTACACACCACTGACAAACGGTGAATGAAAACATCGTAAGGAAACCTGGGCTTATAATTTCTAATTATAAGTTTGTAATCGCCAACCCGCATTGAGCAAGCGTAGTGATTAATGCTCAAACCATCTCCGTGTGAGAAGAGGCTTTGCTCAGCAGTGGGCATTTAGAGGCTATTGATGAAATGATGGAAATGGCTACCAATTACCCTAATCTCCCTAATCTCCCCAATCCCCAAATCCCCAATAATCCTCCAATTCCTAATCGCCAAAAGGCCGGTAACGCACTTGTAACACCTCTGGTGTTTCGGGTGTCTATAGGCGGCGTTTACCGACTAGTAAAAATAAAGTTACGTTCGTAAATTCATATTCTACGCGAAGTCGCGGGCAACAACTAGTAAATAAATAAACATAACATCACGCCTTTTATCCCGAAGGGGTAGGCAGAGGTGCACATTATGCTACTGTACAATGAAACACCCACTTTTCACTATTTATGTTATGAGTCCCATGTAATAGGGGGTGAGCCTATTGCCATATACCGGGCACAATTCCAAACTCCGTGCTACTACTAAGGTTTTTAAAAACCCAGTAATACTTTGCCCGACCCGGGAATCGAACCTGAGACCCTTGCCCGGCAGTCGCACTTGCGACCACTCGGCCAACGAGGCAGTCAAGCAGCAGTAAATAAATAGAATGAAAGAAATACTTACAGGCAACATTCCTTCCTTGAAATGCGTATGTTCTTCAGCACTAACTCGCCTCGACCGCTCATTCCTCGCCCGTATATAGTTATCGGTTTCCTCTAGAAGTGCCGCGTACCTATCGCGCTGAGTCTGAACTTGTTTCTCCAAGCTCATGATACGAGTCTTGAGATCTGATACAACCTCTTTCTGGTAATCTTGCTCGTTTTTGTGTTTCTGTAATTAGTTTTGCAGATTTTGCATTCTTTCTATTATGTAGTTACAGTCAAAGGTCAAAAGTCCACTGCCACCGTGAGTGATCTTCACATGGCAATGCGTTAGTAATTTCACATTAAGGTGCATAAAACGCGTGTATGCATAAACACACGCATGCGTACGCACACGGATAAAAATATGCGTGTGTGTGTGTGTATAAGCGCTGCAGCGCAACTGATAGTAGTCTTACGGTGGCTGTAGACTTTTGACCTTTGACCGTACATTAATATAATTATAAACAAAAACTTAATCAACATTTAGGTGAATTAGTTTGTATAGTATTTTATAGACTAGCCTACTAATGGTTATAAAATACTAACAAGTTCTGACCTTTTTTAATTGGATTGCTAAAGAATAATTGCTTATGTATCGTGGAAATTTACCTTTCATCCAAAATAATATGTCTATAGGGGCATTACAATACAAACAGCATCAATGTAATAAGATCATTTTATAAATTACTAGCGACCCGCCCGGCTTCGCACGGGTCCAATATGCAAGTATTATACATATAAACCTTCCTTAATAATCACTCTAACTATTAAAAAAAACCGCACAAAATCCGTTGCGTAGTTTTAAAGATCTGAGCATACATAGGGACAGACAGACGGCGGGTAGCGACTTTGTTTTACACTATGTAGTGATTAATTAAGATATTTTTCTACACTACAAACTCACCTCTTCATACAACTTCAAAGTATCCAACTTATCCTGCTTCTCCTCTTCTAAAACCATCTTATAAGTCTCCACTTTCTCCTTCAACAATGCGATCTCATTCTTCAAATCTCCTATGTCACTCTCCGTCTCACTCCCAACTTCTCTCATTTTCATCTGCTGTTTATAAAGATCAAATTCCATTTTCAAACTCTCATATTCTTCTTTACATTTTAAATGTACATTCTCATATCCTTGGACAGTGAAAACCGTTGAAATGTCTATAGGACTGCCCAATTTGTCATTCTCTGCGATGAGTTCCTTTTTCAAAATGTGTATTTTGTCTATGAGTGTTTGTAAATACTCGCTGTCAGCTAGTTTGTCGTTATCTGTTTCACTTTTCTGTGTTGGCTCTGATGTTTCTTCTGCGAATAATGTTTTAGTATAATATTAATATATAATTATGACATTGAATTACTAAACCCATACATCCCCAAGCGATCACCGGTGACCGCTCTCCACTAACTACATTATAGACCATGTTTAGAGACTACTTTTGTATGATCAAATTTAGGGGATGAATTTCAACGGGTTAACTTAATTTCATTAGTCAAAAATAAATTATTTCGACTGTTACATACAACACAATACAATAAAATAATAAAAAACAATCACACTTTCATTAATTGATTTTAAGACATAACATAACATCACGCCTTTTTATCCCCGAAGGGGTAGGCAGAGGTGCACATTATACCACTGTACAATGTAACACCCACTTTTCACTATTTATGTTATGAGTCCCATGTAATAGGGGGTGAGCCTATAATTGATTTTAAGACTTACTTAATTTTAGTATTTTTCCAGCAAATTTTAAAGAAATAAGTATGCTATTTGACGCTAAAAAAACATGACGTCAAAATACACAATCTCGTACAAAATGCATAGAAAACTGTCACTTTTGACAGTTCGAAAAAAGTATTGAATTCGACTAGTTGGCAAGTACCCAATGGAATTGACTGCCTCGTTGATCGAGTGGTGCGACTGCCGGCCAAGGGGTCTCGGGTTCGATTCCCGGGTTGGGTAAAGTATTACTGGGGTTTTAAACAATTCTCAGTAGTAGCACAGCGCCTGGAATTGTACCCGGTGTATGGCAATAGGCTCACCCTCTATTACATGGGACACATAACATAAATAGTGAAAGGTAGGTGCTGCATTGTACAGTGGCATTAAGTGCCGTAATGTGCACCTCTGCCTACCCTTTCGGGGCTAGTCGCACTTGCGACCACTCGGCCAACGAGGCAGGCTAAAGATTATAATAATCGTAAAAAGTAGTTTTAAACATTTTGATTACTAATTAAACATTGTAGTTGCAATAACGATTACGAGATTACTTTTTATAACTACACATTTAAAATATACTGACCAGATGACGAGCATGCATGAAAAGACTGATGACTGTTGATGAAGCGAAAGAGGTATGTAGGAATCGTAGCAATTGCCGTTCCATTGTCTCTGCCTACCCCCATGGGAGATAGTCGTGGGATATAGTATGTAAGTATTTTAAAATAATATTGCATTTTATAAAAAATAAAACTCGTCACAGACACACGGGATGTATACTATAATATAAATTTTGCCCTCACACGATTTGTGGTCGTTCTTACAAGTTAATATTTCAAAATATACCGAGATATATTTATCGATATACTTTGGTGACGTCATAGAAATATACATATTAAAGATGCGTGTACGGTAATCAAATTAATAACTACTTCATGTGGTTCGATTACTTTAGTATATGTAATTACAACTACATGTAGTTAACTACTCTGAATTGTAGTTATTTATTAACCAGATTAACTAAAATCGCGGGTTACTTACGTGAATATACTGAGAAAAGCTCTACTAGTTTCGAACCACAGAGGTTCATTAGTGAGCTGCATCGCACGCTGCTCATGAGGAAGAACCCCTCTGTGGTTCCAAACTAGTAGAGCTTTTCTCAGTATATTCACGTGAGTAACCCGCGATTTTAGTTAATTTAGTATGTCTCACGATAGTTATTATAAACATATTAACCAGATCACAAAATAGTAGTTAACTACGTCCTGCAGTGGTTATATTAAAAGTGCACTTATGTTTATCTGTTAAGAACACTTGTATAACATGCCATTGGTATTAAATTATTTACCAAAATCTTTATTAGCAGCAATCTTGTCCATGAGCCGTCCATTGACTGAATCTTTGAGCTGTTGTATCAACTGCTGGTCGTGCCGTCTCCTCAAGTCGTACTGGCCGACTGTTTCTGACAACTCTGCTATTTTACTCTCCAGTAGTGCCACTCTTTCTTCTTGTCGGGCACAGATCTTGCGCGCTGATTCTTCTGCGCGTTTCGCTTTTATTTGTTCCTGGAATTACGAAAATTTAAATCAATAAGCAGTCAAGACAGGATAAAAACAAAGGACAACTTCTTTTGTGGGAGAGCCATGTTTCGGCACGAATGGGCCGGCTCGACCGGAGTGATACCACGGCCTCACAGGAAACCGACGTGAAGCAACGCTTGCGTTGTGTTTCGTCGTGTGAATGAGGTTACCGGAGGCCCAATCACACTCCCCTTCTCCAATCTCCCCAATCCCTGAATCCCCAACGATCCTCAAACTCCTAATCCCCAAAAGGCCGGTAACGCACTTGTAACGGTTCTGGTGTTCCGGGTGTCCATGGGCGACGCCGATTGCTTACCATCAGGTGATACTGCACGTTTACCGGATAATGCCATAAAAAAAAACAATTTTGAAATGTGCCAATGCTTTAAAGAAGGTGATTTGTATCCGATTGTTGAGCTACATTAATTTTTAAAGTGTTAAAAATGAAAAGTTAGTAAAACCCGGATGTTTTAAAAACGTAAACAGCCCTGGTAGCAACGAGTAAGACGAATAGTGACGAGTAGCAATAACTTCGAACATATTCGTGATGTTTCTGCGTTACCCAAAGCCATGTCGCCTGGCTTTGGTTAGGCGTAGTAGCCCTCACTTGTAAGAGAAGCATTTAATTAAGTTCACAACATAACAACGCCTTTTATTCCCGAAGGGGTAGGTAGAGGTGCACATTACGGCACTTAATGCCACTGTACAATGTAACACCCACTTTTCACTATTTATGTTATGAGTCATTTCCACATGGCACATTTCCAGACACCGTGCTACTACTGAGGTTTTTACAAACCCAGTAATACATTGCCCGACCCTGTAATCGAACCCGAGACCCCTTGCCCGGCAGTTGCACTTGCGACCACTCGGTCAATGAGGCAGTTAATTAAATTCACTAGAAAAGTATTCCAGCTAAGAAGAATGATACGGAGCCGCGGAAGACTTAACGGGTTGCCGGGGCTCCGGCTCGACGCGCAGGAGAAGGAACGGGGTGGTTTTTAGTCAGTAAGAGTCTGACACTCCCTCCCGCCTCACCCGGGCGGGAGAAGTCATTGGATGATTTTCCCACCTCAAAAAAAAAAGCTAAGAAGAATGATGGTGGTGGAACAATAGGTACCTCTCGTATCGCAACAGAATGAGATTGCTCCAACAGTGCCAATTTGTTCTGCAGCCGAACTAATAAAGCAGGAGTCTCCACGGTGCGAGCCTCAGCGCGTTGTAAGCGACGCTGCGCCGCTTCCAGCGAGCTGCTTAGATCTCGGACACGTTTCTCTAGCTCCGCCTGGGATGCTAACAACATAAAGTTTTATCGAATCAAGATAAACAAGATCATGGTACAAGATCTTTATATTACAAATAAAACTATCTAATTCAACATATATAACGATAGTCTGTGAACCTCCTCGTATACCATGGTTTTCAAATTGTAAAATTAGTAGGAAATTGTTGGTAACAGCTCTCGGACTGAGATCCGGACATATGCCGCTTAACAACATTGCATTTCTGATGAAAAAATGTGCCTCCCCTAACTGTGAGGAATGTCATAAGGTAGAAGATGTTGTTCATCTCTTAACGGAATGTGTCCGTTTTCAGGCAGAAAGAGATATCCTGACTAATGAATTAAGTTTAATTAAAAATAATATAGGATTATTTAATGAAATTTTAGCTGCCCCTTTATCTAATGCGGCCAAAAAGTTGTATAGCTTTGCAGGTCTACGTTTTGTTAAATAGATATAAAGAGTATTTTGTTTGTATAACTTGTAAGTTTAACATGTAAGATATAAGGTAAAATGGAACTGTCGTGTATTTATGTACAAAAGTTCCTAATTAAATAAAGAGAAAAAAAACATCAATAATATGCTAAAACTAGCAGCTAAAAGCTAGTTTTCTAATTATAATTAATTAATTATCATGAATATTCTAAAGTTAAAAAATTGGGAAAATAAAATACTAGAAAATAAGTTGTAAAGATGCTGTTCTATGCAAGTTACAGCAATAATGTCTAACCTTGAGCTTCACTGGAATGTACGACCTTGTCTTCTAATTTCTCTTTAGTCTTCCTCTCACTATTCAGTTTGAGATGTAATTCTCTGAAACAGAAAACAACTATTTGTACCTAAGAATGAGAAACTTATTTAAAGTATTTATTAAATATAATTGAAAATATTTGGCCTCGTTAGCCGAGTGGTTGCAACGCAAGTGCGACTGCCGGGCAAGGGGTCTCGGGTTCGATTCCCGGGTCAACCAAGTATTGCTGGGTTTAAAAAAAATTCTCAGTAATAGCACGGGGTCTGGAATTGTGCCCGATATATGGCAATAGGCTCACCCCCTATTACATGGGACTCATAACATAAATAGTGAAAAGTGGGTGTTACATTATATAGTGGCATAATGTGCACCTCTGCCTACACCTTCGGGGATAAAAGGCGTGATGTTATGTTATGTTAATATAATATAATCTTATATCTTATACTATTACATAAAGCGCAAGAGTTTGTTTTTTTTTTTTTGTTTGTTTGAACGCGCTAATCTCCGTAACTACAAGTCTGATTTGAATAATTATTTTTGTGTTGGATAGCGCATTTATCGAGGATAGCTATAGGCTATAAAACATCACGCTACGACCAATAGGAGCTGAGCAGAGCGTGTGAAACCGCGTGGAAGTAGCTAGTATAATAATAATAATAGAATTTAATAAGAGTTTGTATCTCTGATTTCGTACCATTTTTTCTTCTTCCTATTTGAGTAATTTGGCAAATCGAAACCAGAGTTAATCATTATCTTTGTGTCATGATAATATTTTTTTAAATGATACGCAGAATACTCACTTCATCATAGCCTGATGATCAGCTCTTTCTTTCTCCCTCTCCTGTATCTCATATGCTACCTTCGCCTTCAGGTTACTGACTTCAGCCAAATGCTGCTGAACTAATGTCCTTGTCTCTTCTCTCATCGCAGCTATCTGGTTTTCATACTGGAAAGAAAAAAAGAAAAAACATGATAAATAATACGCAACAAGCACCTTTACAAATTATACAATTACTAACATAATTCGCTCAGCGATTTGTTTAGGCACTTTATTTTATTTTATTTTTATGGGATAAGCCAAGCAGACGGAACACTTGATGGTAAGCAGTCGGCGTCGCCCATGGACACCCGGAACACCAAATGTATTACAAGTGCGTTACCGGCCTTCTGGGAATTAGGAAATCAAGGATTGTTGGGGATTCAGGATTCGGGATTTGGGTTGGGGAGATTGGGGGGAAGGGGGAGTAATTGTGCCTTCTGTAATGTAAAATATGTAAGAAAAGAAACTAGTTCTAAATTAACCAAAAATCGCGGGTTACTCACGTGAATATACTAAGAAAAGCTCTACTAGTTTCGAAACACAGAGGGGTTCTTCCTCATGAGCAACGTGCGCGGGCGCAGCGATGTCGCACCCGCAGTAGGCTTCTTTTTAGTTAATTTAGTATGTCTCACGTTAGTTATTATAAAAACGACACTATTAATTTACTTTTGTGATAAAATAGGTCTTAGAACTTTTAAATTCCTAGATTCAACTGTCAAGAAGACATTATCAAAATAAGCCATCCTGTACTTAGTGTTTGAGAATCCCAGTAATATTTTACACGGAAAATAAAAAGCATTTATGTAGCCTAAAAATGTAATCTAGAACTAAATCTGAATGATAAAACATTGAGTGCAGTCGGTGAACTTATTTCAAAACGTTATCTATACATTATACTGTATCAAGTCATATTAATAACATAACATAATCGTAATATATATGATTACAATCATGTTTGATTAAATAACTTCCTTATAAAAGTGTTACATGATAATTATATAGTAATATTCAATATTGTGATATCGTCAAATAGTATCAGTGTGTTATGATAATTTAAAAATAAAGAAAGTATAATGTAATAATCAGATAAAAGAAATGATTCATTTCCGTACTCTGGTGGCTATATTAAACTAACTTTTAGCCATGCTTCGGCACGAATGGGCCGGCTCCACCGGAGTGATACCACGGCCTCACAGAAAACCGACGTGAAACAAGGCTTGCGTAGTGTTTCGTCTTGTGAGTGAGGTCACCAGAGGCCCAATTATCTCCCCAGTCTCCCCAATCCCCGAATCCTCCACAATTCTCAAATTCCCAATTTCCAAAAGGCCGGTAAAGCACTTGTAACACCTTGATGTGTCAGGTGTCCACGGAGGACGACGATTGCTTACAATCAAGGGATCCGTCTGCTCGTTTACCGACTTATGCCAATAAAAAAAAACTATAAACAATAAACAACTAACATTTTGATAAATTATTTAAAACTGGTAACCGGTTTTAGCCAATATGAGGTCACCTTATTAATTTCATGTAGATAACATATATAATAATGAAAGTTCTTATCAGAAACAAAACAATGCAAAACATGGGTTTGCTTTTTATGAGAATATACTATACATGCCTGTTATTACCCACTTAAGCTCAATTTGGAACAGCTAAAAGCCCATGATACTAATCAAATCACACAAAACAAATAACTCCATCATCGCTTAAACCAGAAAGTCACATTACTTTGCTTGAACTAAGAATTGAACCTAAGATCTTACTCAACAGTTGTTCTTGTCTATCATAAGAACTTGTTACAATAAAATGTCCCTTACCTTATCTCTAGTTAGTTTCTTATCAGCTTGAAATGCTTCCTCCATTCGTGACTTCTCTTCTGTCAAGGTGGATAGAGACAGCATGAGAGCTGCCACTGATTCATCTCTACCTTCATCTGAGAACACACATTATCCTCATCAGCATGTATTATAGAGGATATTGATGATCGTAAAACAATAGTCTTCCCCTTAAAGACTTAGCCTATGTGTAAACATAGGTCACTAAGAATTTTGACATTACTGCCTATGCCTATTCATCATTTGTTTTTTTTCCGCAAAATAACCAGCAGCTGTAGCCAAATGCCACTTAGCGCTTGTCTACATGTAGAATAGAAAACCAAAGGATATGGAATTGACGTACATTTTGACACTTTTCATCCCCATACATTTTGGTTTCTACTCTCACTGTAGACAAGCGCTAAAGTGGTATATGGCTAAAGGCCCAGTTCCTATAGAACAGACTGGCTATTTATCAAATCAGAACAAATAATAATAATACGAAAAATTTACATCATAAAACTATAAATTTAACATTCTGCACCACCCAATGGTCGACTGTCAGAAAATGCCTACGGCATTAAGGCCGCCAATTTCACTGTATATGCAATAAAGTTTAATAAATAAATAAAAAGTTTAATAAATAAATAAATTGTATTATTTAGAAAGACAAATTAATAATATTAAAATCTTTTATTACTCAATAACTAAGCATACATTTCTCTGAAATATCTATCTCGCTCGCTCTATGGAATTAAAACAATAATTTGATACATACCTCCACTTGGGCCCTCAGCTGGACTCTCAGTTTTATTGAGAGCTTTGAGACTTATTTCCAGAGCCTCTTTTTCTTTGACAAGTCCTTTATAAGCCGCTACAACATCTAAAAGAGATATGAAGTTCGTATCAACAATGCTTTCTTCACCACAACCAAAACATTACAGATACACTATGGGGACTAAACAAGCAATGGTTCCTTGACAATAGTAGGTGATTGCCACATTCCATGGACTCTTTACACCAAGGAAGTAACATATGCATTGTCAGTCTAAAACAGAGTGATAAATACGTTGGCCGAGTGGTCGCAAGTGCGACTGCCGGGCAAGGGGTCTCGGGTTCGATTCCCGGGTCGGGCAAAGTATTACTGGGTTTTTAAAAATCTCAGTAGTAGCACGGAGTCTGGAATTGTGCCCGGTATATGGCAATAGGCTCACCCCCTATTACATGGGACTCATAACATAAATAGTGAAAAGTGGGTGTTACATTGTACAGTGGCATTAAGTGCCGTAATGTGCACCTCTGCCTACCCCTTCGAGGATAAAAAGGCGTGATGTTATGTTATGTTAAATATTAAGTATACTGTTCTTATTTCAGTGGAAACATTTCTTTTAATATGCAAATAGTACATATATCTTATAAATTATCGTGAAAGTAAGGTCTCCACAACAAAATAAGATATTATAGCAATTTCCCATTAGTGGCAATATGTAAAGGGTTCCATATTGTAGATATGGTCTACATTGATAGAATTCATGTTAGCAATATAGTATTGCACTTCTACAATCAAAGTCTCACAGTATTGTACAAGAAAATATTACAGAATAATTATGTGCCATATTGCCTCAGACTCAACATCTGCTAGCTAGATTTTTGCAATAACAAATCCTGTTAAAATGGTAGAATGGTACTGCTACAATTAGTTTGCTTACCTCTTAATCGACCTTCATATCGTTTGATTTGATCTGCTTGTTTAGTAATAGTCGATATCAACTCTTGTTTCGATAGAGATTCCATCGTTTTTCAGCACTGCACAAGTTAGTTTTACTGATGAAATAATATTTACGTTAAAAATAATAAGATAGAATATTCTGTTTTACATCACTATTTCGTTTGGTTACTAACAATTAAATACGTTGATAATGTTCACACTGGAGAATATTTCGAAATAAACGCTTGATTTAAAATAAAATACATTTCATTTCACTAAAATATAAGAGCGACTGACATTAAATTCAATATTTCCAAACTGACGTTTATTTGACATGACAATAAAAATGAATGACATTGATTGAAATGAAATGAATGAGAGTGGTAAAGAATGAATGAAATATTTCCTCTGTAGAGTAGACGTTTCACGCAGTCACGCTTACGATTCACGAGTAGGGTGAAATTAGGAATATCGATTGCTTTGGTTATGGCCATCAAACCACGCGTATGCTTTACACCAACTTTAAACACAAAAACCTTGCATATTTGAAACAATAATTATTTTATTAAACATACCTACATAGTGTAAATACTACTTAGCCGAATTTGAACACATTATAACAAAAATCTCTGTTTTGTAAAGGCAATTAGGTGTAAATAGTAATAATACCTGATATTATAATTAGCATGTAATTAGAGTGATGAAATTATTTAAATAATTGTTAACTGGTAGTTAGTCAAAGTTTGGTGGGTAGGTAAGGTATAATAATTATTATAGACTTTCAAGCTACGTGATATCATAAGACGGGATTGCATAAGGGTACCTACCTGGGTACTGTGTACAGTCACCTCATGTGCTCGAGAATGAATCGATCAAGTACTAGTAATACAAACATTAGGTACATTAAATAAATGAATCATTTACTACTCCGAGTTTCTTTTTTATAATAGTACCTACTGTACGTGTTTTATTTTGTTATTAGATTTTAAATTAATCATTGATTGAGGGACCAGTAAAATATTTTACAATTTCTTTTCATTCGTCATTAAAACATTCCTATCCTCATGCGGCCGCCGCGCCAAAGCGATTAGATACGGCAACCATTTTGCGAATCTCTGTATACAATGTTGCTTTAAGAATAATAGTAGGCGCCATTGTTGTTTGTGCTCACTCAAATCGTATCCTACTGTCGAGGTCGTTGACCCCCGATTTAAAAATGGGGTAGCATTCACCCCAAGTTTAATTATTGCACATGTTATAAACGTAATGTCCAAATGTAGCCCATACTTAATTATTTTGGGCTCGACGTTATAAAGTTGATAAAATTCCATTTTTTGGTGTTGATCATTGGAACCAAGCTTACGTAATTAGTATTAAATTAATACTATTACGAAACGATATTTAATTGATATTATAGATTGTTGTTGATTGAAGGGATTTATAGGTACTAATCTTTACAATAAACCAATACACAAAATACTCTTACTTACCTAGATAACACTGTAGATATTTATAAAAAAAATAAACAGAATCATATTTATTTTTTAAGATTAATGTAATGGGTATCAGTTTCCTAAAGACAACGATGTCCACGACTCGTGATTTCTTCAAAAGTAGTAGTATCACGAAACAAAAACCATTTCATCATAAGCGAATGTATCTTCAAAGCTCGCTCGGAATCCTATTCGCAAGCTTCCAGCCAAATAAAACGGGCGTGGCGCCTCGCTGTCTGTAGATTGGATCGATGCATGCGTACTGCGTACATACACCCCCGGTTTATATTAAGTAGGCACCTATCTCTTTTAGGCGTCTCTTTGAATCAAACCTAATAAGATTTTTGGCTGTGTAGGTATGTAAAAAACATGTTGGAAATATTCAACTGCGTTTTTATCAAATTTCTATAGCTGCACGATTTCACGATTATCAAAATTCCCATCTTTCGCAAATCACCCTTGGAAATGGCGTAATCCGACTGATGGCGCGGATAAGCCCAACAGAGGAAATGTTTTGGAAAATTAAAACACGCTTGTATTTGAGGGTTTTTGGGAGTTCAATTTTGAAATAAAACATTATTTATATGTATTATTGCTAAGGTCAATATTTAATTTCTATCAATATCCCCTACGTCAGATTACATTCGTTGACATTATTTCAAAAATTAAATGTAAGTAAGCCAAACACGTTTTCATACATTATCGGCGATTTGTACTCTGTCTTATAATTCTAGCTACATTCTAGGCCAAACCCTACAATACCCAAACCTGCCCAAAGTAAATACAAACGAAAAAAACTAAACCAAATCATTAAACGTGGGATAAATAAACACTAAATAGAAAGATGTTAGTTTTATATAAATTAAACAGAAACTATTCTAAATAAATAAAATACCACAACTTAGAACACAAAATACTAAAGTTGAACAAAACGAATAAGTGGACAGGTGTGTACTGGTATTATTTCGGTGGAGAAAGCAAGCGTATTTGTTTCAACCATTCAGGGACGACACAACATAGATTAACAGTAATTTGTAAAAATGGATTCTGCTTATTTTATGCGCGAATGTTCGTATATATGTACGTCTCCAGCGCTGTCCGCCATGGAAGCCAAAAGCGGTAATAAAATTCAAGTAACAGAATGGGTTTGATCAACTTTGGCCATTTCCTTCTAACCGAATTTCGACTGTGTATCAACCCTTTCTAATTTATCTTCAATTAAAAGTTAGACACTCGTAATTGCCACTCACAGAGTTGGCGTGTACAGTCGCGCACAAATACAGCACATCCACATCATAGCATATAACTCAGAGGTACATCTACCTTTGACTAGTTCTGATACACACCATTTAGTATTTTTATGTATTGTGTGCTTTACATGGGTATATTACTTATATTAAACCAAACACCACACCAACATAATTTTAAACCAAAATCCTAATCTACATTTTAAATTAGAGAACACAGTTTTCTTTAAATACTTAAGTATACATACTTAAAGATTTAAATGTTGCGCAAAATTATAACTGACTAGTTTCGCGTATTTTAAGTACTTTAAATAAATAATTAATATTAATGAAACATTTATCCTTACCATAGAAATTAAAGAAAATACTTAATCAAAATGCATTATACAAGCCCATCTATGTGTCTGTGAATATCTCGCCTCGGTTTTTTATTTCACTTTAATTATGATATGCATTTGACTATCAATAATTTAACTATTACGGAAATTACTATAATGAATATCAGAAACGATACAAACAGTTGGATAAGGTATAGTAATGAGTAGATTACCCAACTAATTTTGAACTTACACTACATTCAATATATTAATATAAACATCAAAATGAAATCTATAATTTCTATTACGATTATGACAATAAATTATGTTTACAATGAATTTTTTAATTACTTAAATTTAATAATAAATAGTGATGATTATATAATCAAATTAGAGAGACAATATCATGATGTGAAAGTCAAATATCATGGTTTGTTTTGTGCAAGATCATGCAATATTCCTGTAGAAAATTGCATTATAATTTCAAAATTTTGATTTTAAATGCACATGAAAATTTTCCAATAAATAATAACCAATTTGACTTTCACTGTTATACAATTACTATAATAATTATGTGCCCAATTGATACATGAAGGTATCCAAGTCATAATAAAATGTTGATCAATAACTAATTTAGTTGTAATGTCATGGTCCTTATACATAATTTTAATAGAGATTTCTTGTCAGATTTTCAAGTCAATTTTATGAATGGAGTCAAATAATAAATGTAATTGTAAATAATAATTATGATCCTAATTATAATTGTTCTATAAAATGTATCCACCTTACTTATGACTTTGTGCACAATTCAAGCTCCAGAATTATATTATTATCCAACATTATTATAATAATGGGGCCATCCTTATTTTATCAACATGAATGGAAGTATAGTTTTTAGTCAAAGTTTCACTTACAAACATCATTTTATATATCAGTCAATGCATTTCTGACATCTTTGGTAATAATTATATAATGAACATTTTGTTTAATATACTATGTGTTATTTTATTATTGCGACTATTTTTCAAAAGAAAAATAATAATATAGTTGTTGGTACAATAAAAATTGCACTGCTTTTCAATATACATATTATAATAAAATATTTTTTTTTATTTTTTACTTACAGTAAAAAAAGTTTAATATTGCACTGTCAATCGTTAAACATATTATAATTATTGCCTGAATTACGGTTATATTAGAATCTTGTTGGCATCATTATCCTATTATAATACCAGAACTCTACAAGTTAGTCTCAAACGTAAGACTCATCCCAATGGACATATAAGTTATACATAAAATTGAGTTAGCAAAAAGTATGCAGTTAATTTAATTTTTATACTTAGGTCTCGAATTTTATAAGTATATGACTAAGCTACTGACTCCATCTGATTTATAATTCAGCAAGTCAGGTAAGCCATTATAATAATTTACACAAAGTTATGTCTAAGTACTGCATCACTTGTTACTAACTTTAATTATAATCTTAGGATATATTTATATATCAGGTATTTAACTAGACAGGTATTTCATGGACTCTGTAAATTAAAATTAGGTCAATTTTGTAGAATATACTTGGTGTATAATGTCAGTCATTTAAAAATTTGTCTACTTTCTTATTGTGATGATTTTTTTGTACCTATACTGTATGAACATTGGTTCAAACTGACATCATGTCATGATTTGAATCACATTTATTCCATATTTCACTCAGTACTATTAGTCAAACTTCAAACCATGACAAAGTAATGATCAACATTTTTGCATTAGCTACAATTTATTGACTAGAAACTGGATCATTTAAGATTTACTCTTGTTCGTTTTGAAGCTGACCTGGAGTACTTGGCCATTTAGCGAGTATCCATTCAAGGATTGGATGGCAACAACAGCCTCATCATAGTTGGTCATGGTGACAAAACCATAGCCCTTACACTTGTTGGTTGTGGGATCTCTAATTATTTTAACACTCTGGACGGCACCGAATGGGCCAAAGAGCTGCCACAAGACACTCTCTTCGGTGTCAGCTCCGATGTTATAGACAAAGATGCACCAACCTGAACCACCAATGGCATTACCCTGTATGAGCGGGTCGGCCAAAGGAGAGAATCTTTGAAGACCTTTGTTGATAGCCAACAGAGCCTTCCCAGCAGGCCCAACGAAGCGGCGAGCAGCTGCAGGTGCCAGGTAAGCTGCCAGTGGAGCGAGTGCCTTGTTCTGGTTGCTAGGGTTGTTGGCACACTTAACTGTGATGGGGCCAGTGCCACCTGGTGGTATTGTGCCATTTAACTCACGTATTGCGTTCTCTGCCTCGTGTCGTTGATCGTAGCGGATGAATGCGACACCCCTCGAAGGTCCGACGATGTTGGGCTCGTCGCCGCCGACTTGCAGCAAATGACCAACATTTACATTCTCATGGAGTATGCGCGAGCTGATGATGGTTCCATAGGGACTGAAGAGCTTCTCCAATTCTTGCTGCGTCATGTGCTTCGGCAAGCCTGATACATAAAGATTGGCGCCTTTGATCGCATCGGAACTAGGACGAGCGTACGATACCTTAATGATCTTATTCTGCAGTCTCAACCCATTCAGTGTGTTCACTGCTTTCTCAGCGTCTTCTGCCTTGTGGTAGTTGACGAATGCGTACCCCAAACTCTGGCCATTCAGAATGTGGTCGGGGAATACGGTCACTTTGTCTCTAATAAGCTTGCAACTTTCTACTTCGCCGACACTCGAGAATAACGATCTAATCTCTTCCTGGGTCATCGTTTGCGGCAAATAGTTAATGATCAGGTTGGTTTTAGATTCATTGTTACAAGGTTGGACCTTGCTACCATTTTGCGTGGGCTGGTTCGCGTTTACGCTGTCGAGTGTATTTGCCATCATTTTGACTATTTCTATGTTTACACCAAATTAGGTGAAATGTCACAGGATCTGTGACTTATTACAAAAAATATAAAACGGGTGAGTTAAAACATAGATCCACGTTCTTCGCTAGTTATAACAACACCACCACTTCGCGTTGGTTGAAAGCATATGCAAGGGAAGAAAATCAATAAGATGCTGTTCACTTTTGTACTTATCCTGTTTTAGGTGGTACGGCGCCGAGTCCGTTGAATCAAAATATAACGAGAAACACAAATGAGCTCTAGTTTATTAGATCTTATGGAGAATACGAAAGAAAAGTGAAAAGGAAATCAACCAAAAATCTATGCGACTTGCGACCTATTCTCGTAAATTCATTTCTTTCACTTCACTTTCTTTTTAAAATGTTGCCAGATTGCGAACTAGACTACCTAATCCACCGAATTTTCTCTACGTGAATCATTTCCCCATTTTTATATTTCCTTTTTTTAAAATTAATCTGTTTAAGTTTTAATATTTAAAAATAAAATAATAAAACATTTAAAAACATAATACTCCATTAATATGGTGGGTGCAGTAATCCTATGTTTTTATTTATTGTTTAGAACGTTGAATATACATAAGTATTTTTATAAAGAACATTAAACTCAGACTATAATAACATTACCTTATCAATGGTAAAAATTATTGAAAGTAAAAATGTCAACGATATAGCTAAAACGGTTTAGGTTAAGATCGGCTTAGTGATAAACGGACGGACAGCAAAGTCTTAGTAATAAATTAACCTAGATCTTAAAGTCCTGTGTTTGTGAATACAGAATCCTTAAAATAATTAATTTAGGTAAGTATTTCAAACGTGTACTTGTCAGTACAACAAGTAATTATGTAAGTCTATCATAAAACATATTTTTAACAAAGTCTTTTTTCATTCTAACGTGACCAATTGTAAATGTTGATATTTTGTATGTAAGGTAGACATTAAGGTGATTTATTTATTATACACATTTGAAACACGAAGCTTAAGTAATCGAATAAAAGTCATAATATTATTGAACCTTATAAAACAATGTAATTTAGTAGTCATAGTGTATAACCCTACTAACTGGGTAATATTTCATAGCTTGCCACACTAAAACAAGGGTGCCAACCTAAACGCCGTTCAATGCAGCCAACATTAAAACAGTAGTTCTAATAAGCGTTCGTAAACCTCGTAAAACTGCGTTGTAAATGCGTTAAAATAAATTATTCACTGTTTACAACTAATTTCAAAATCATAATTATTAATCATGTTTAGTTTTATTCATACAATTGCTCTTCTCAATTTATAACTTTAATTATTTTTGTGCATTGAAATAAATTGTGACGTTAACGCCATCTCTTATTTCACTAAGGTAACTTTAAAGAGGTCAAAATTAAAATTACCACACCAATGAACGTGGAAAGCACACGACAGAGTAATCGGATTATTAGATTTGTTTTTTTTTGCTTTTGTGTACCTATTTCCAATAATTAGAATTTCTGGTAGGCTATTTTTTACGGCATTGGGTAAACGAGCTGGTGGCGGATCGCTACAATCGGTCGGTTTTTTGGAGATTGTGGATTTGACTACATTGAGGAGGGATTAGTATTCGCTAGTAGACAATTTCACTCACACGACGAAGTACAAAGCAAGCGTTGTTTCACTCCGGTTTTCTTTGAGGCTCTTCAACGGAGAACCAGAAAACATTCCACTTGTTAAAATCGTGTCTAACATAAAATCGCGAATATTTGATAGGTATTTTACTGAAAAGTTTATTACGTTATGAAACCTTATTAATATTTTGTAAGTTGAAGTTCGTGCGTAGGCACGTAATTTAATAACAATCAACGTAGGTGTGGCTGTTCAGGTCATAGGCTTTAATAAATTCGTATCCGTATTTTGTCATCAATATTATAGTTAGGTAGTGTTACAAATCGTTATCATTAAAAAGGGGCATAACATAACATGACTTAACATCACGCCTTTTATCCCCGAAGTAGACAGAGGTGCACACTACGGCACTTAATGCCACTGTACCATGTAACACCCAATTTTCACTATTTTATGTTATGAGTCCCATGTAATAGGGAGTGAGCCTATTGCCATATACCGGGCACAATTCCAGACTCCGTGCTACCATTGAATTTTTTTTTAAAACCCAGTAATACTTTGCCCGACCCGGGAATCGAACTCGAGACCCCTTGCCCGGCAGCCGCATTTGCGACCACTCGGCCATCGAGGTATTTAGAGGTATGTAGGAATCGTACCAATTGGCGATCCGTAGTCTCCGCCTACCCACATGGGAGACTGTCTCCCAGGCGTGAAGTTATGTATATTTGTTATCATTGACTATTATAAAATCTAGGTACAAATCATTACAGCTAGGTTTATCATCATTACCAGGAAGACGTCCACAGCTAAACACGCTCCATAATCTTGGATACCAAATGACTACTCGCCACTTGCATTCTCGTCGTTACCCTTAGCGGAAGGTCTGCTCACGATACGTCTTCGAGGCCCACTTGACTTTTCTGACTCATCTATCAAGCAGCTGATGTAGCCTGCCCATATTATGCTATTCATTTATTCATGCAACTGACATTTTATATGCTCATAATCACTATTAAACAACTGCTTCGTTTGCACTACAATAGTATATTATTCGTTTTTTTAATGGTATAAATGTCATTAAATTACTTCTCTTGCCTTAGGTTAGGCAAGAGGGAATCAGACTCTTATGCCTTGTTTACCCACAGAAGGGGCCCGATAGGGCTGATGCCGATTCGGAGCCGCGGAGAACCTAACGGGTTACCGGGGCTCCGTATCGAAGTGCAGGAGTAGGAACGGGGTGGTTTTTAGTCAGTAAGAGTCTGACACTCCCTCCCGCCGCACCCAGGCGTGAGCAGTCATTATATGATTCTCCCGCCTTAAAAAATGCTTTGTTCGCATTTTGCTAGTAATTTAGTCATGTAGCGAGTATTTTGGTAGCTCAATCTCTCTTTGGTTTTGATACAGACGCGAGAGAGAATTACTAAATACTCGCTACTCGGCTGAAATACTAGCATAATGCGAACGAGGTATTACTGACTAAAACCATTTCATTCGGGTGACGAGTAATTTAGTAGGTCTCTCTCGCTCTGTTCTAATATCGTTCACACTTCTCTAAACTACCTAGGAACTCGACTAAATGTTTGGTATTCAATCACATTTTAGTTAAGTAGGTACTAAATTACTGCGACTAGAATTTATGGAGCATCTTTGTCCGTGATCCCTGATCCCTGATCCGTGTCCCTGACCCGACTGCCAGACGTAGTGATCGTGACAAATCTGCAGGCCAGTACCTATATTTTTCTTTGGTAACATACTTGTTATGAATTCGTGTGAATCTCTGTGTATCTAAACATGTACCTAGTTTTTTTTAGGAGGCGGGAGGGAGTGTCAGACTCCTACTGACTTTGACTATAAACCACCCTGTTCCTACTCCTGCACTTCGAACCCCGGTAACCCGTTAACAAAAAAACAAGAATTATAATTTTAAGTAGGTATAATCGTTTTCTATATTCATCGATCATGACTTGTCTTTTGCCCGCCCAGATGCCTAGGTACTGGCCAGCATGGAAATCAAACAAAATCTCTCATTACAGTCACTAGTGATAATGAATGGCAATGATCGGCGCTGATCGCTTACCATCAGGTGATCCGTCTGCACGTTTGCCTTCTATTCCATAAAAAAATACTAGACTAGACCAATGACTTCGACATATGTACGTAACAACAAAGCATTTTAAATAATTTCTCACAAGAAATGTTAGCCACATTTCACCTTAGAAACAGGAAAAGTCAAATCAAATGTGAAGTCGATCTTCATTTCCTTTTCAAATACAAAGATAGTATGTTTGTATGTCATATTGTCATATTGTCATATTGGCGATCCATGATACAAAACAAAGGCATGTATCACTGACGGATACGCTCACAATGGATCCAAACTGACTCAACGTTGCTTAGCAACCAGTCCGTACATATTGATCAGGCGCAAGTTAAATGTGATGAGCGGGTTAAGAAATGTTAGAAAGGATTTTTTAAGTGAAAGTCAAGGAAGTGAAAGAAAGGCATTTATTTCAATTAAACCATTATGTATTTGGTACTTTTGAAACGTCAACAAATACAAAATAAATATTAGTCTGTCAGTCAGACCGTCAATGAAGCTAGGTGAAGCTAGGTGCTTATTCCAAAATGTAGATTCGAATGGAGAAGAACGAGCAAGAAACTCCAGAATCTAAATTAATGGGGTAAGTTCACGGATTGTAAGTATATTTTCTTATTATTTCTCATTATTTTATGGTTATTGTCATTGTTAGGTTACAAGCACATCTCTTTGTCAGCAAGATACCTTAAAAATAAGGAAAGTCATTGGTATTGGTAAATTTCATTTTTGTAAATATTGGCAGTTGGCAATTGACATTCATTGCCAAATAAAAACGCTAATTGTAAAAGTAAATGATAAAAATAAACGGACAACGAGGATTTTTCGTTTATTTTGAATGAGAAACTATCGTGTCTGCATATTGTGTAGCAACAACAGAAGGTATAGGTATGTTAGATGACTTTTAAGTAACACATGCTAATGACATGATACAATGTAGTGTAGAGTAAATGTTGTTATTATCACAAGATAACTAGATTACAGATCAACAATACTTAGAAATCGTTACACATAACAGTAAACAGGTGCGCGGTAACTGCTTGATAACCACATGACTGTTATTATAGAGCCATAAGGGCGACTTTCCCATATCTAATACATACTTAAGTTAGAAATATATTTATAATCTGATCAAATAGGTATGTCGCATCAATATCTTACGAAATAACTAATTATAGGTTTACAATATTGACTGTTTAGTCTCTAAGTAAGTGGATTAATATATTTTATCACGTATAAACAATCAAAATGATTAGAATAGCACCTGTGAAACAGGTGGCATGTCCAATGATCGTT